TAAAGTTACAGTTTAGCCCAAAACAGTGAATCCCTTTCTGCCCATTGTTTAGCTAAACCGTCAGCTAGGGAATTAGCCGATCTTTTAACCCAACATATCTTAACTTCCATCTCCCGCACCAGCCATTTGAATTTCCTCCTCTTGTACTTCCATAGGCCATTGTTATCTTTAATCAGCCACCCTATCACCACCTCTGAATCCCCTTCAATTATGAATTTTCTGATGTTCAACTCCTTAGCTTTCTGGACTCATTCCATAACTGCAAAGATCTTAGCTCTAAAGGAGTCACCCACTCCAATTGGGCCTGAGAACATGGCAGAAATGACCCCATTCTCATCCCTAAAAACACTCACAATCCTCGATTTTCCCGGATTTCTCCTACTACACCCATCAAAGTTTAATTTCAAGAATCCACCAGGTGGAGGGGTCCAAGACACACTCATTACTGACTTGGTCTGTGTGTAATTTGCAATTTCACCCCACCTCCTCAACATGTCATTTACAGTGTAATCTGTGAATAGCTCGAAAGATTTCAACCACTGTACAACCATAATATGTATGATAGCCCTAGATCTACTGCTCCTCTCTCAGCTTTTGAGAATATTCTGAAGTTTCTTTCTTCCCAAAGTGTTCAACATACTGAAGCCCTTAGTCCTCTCCACATAGTCCTTCCCCTTTTTATCCGCCACCTGAAAAAAGAAGGGGAAAAGAGGCCCTGCAAGTCTGATGGAGGATTCCAGCTACATTCAAATAAGGAGAAAGCCCAATCCCAAATTGACCTCGCAAAATGGCAAGACAACAGTAAGTGAAAACCAGTCTCCTTCTCCACTTTACAAAAAACACACCAATGAGTGAAGGAGGCATTTCTCTTAAAACAAAAAAAAGTTTTTATGCTTTAATCAAGCAACAGAAGAAAGAAAAAAATGTATTCAGTCACATATGCTTGGATGAATTGTAATGGGTTTCTGACCATTGTCGGCAATGGGCTGAGGACTGAAGGGCATAGATTAATTTACAAGCCTGAAGAAGAACTGGACATTGGCCCGGCTAGGCTTTTGCTACGTTTCAGCCCAGCCATTTCAGTCTTTATCATGGCTAAAGATAGAAGGAAAAACTTCCAAGGGATGTCTTGTCAAAGCTGAAACTGGTCATCTCCAGACCCCAAACTGGACCATCGGCATTGTAATGAAATACAAAGTATTTTTGTCTATACATCTTATCATATGTCTAGGTTATGATCAATGAGTTAGAATTAAATTTAATGACTATTTATTTAGTTGTAAAAATTTCTATGTTACAGAAAATTATCTCAAAAGAAAAAGTTATGATCTATATTTTAAAATCCATTTGGGCTTTCATTTGATATGTGGCGAAGGGTGTTTTGGGCTCAACCAATCCCACAAACCTTGCCACTCAACTGAAGTGGTGAGGAAGGTGAGGGAAATACCTATTAGGGTTTTTATCTGAATTCGAATTCGAATTTGATAATTTTAAGGGTGATCTGGGTTTGATTTGGATCATATATGGATCAATCCTATCCAATCTAATATGCTTAATATTTATATTAAAGTTGGATTAGTTGTTATAATTTTACCAAGTTTCGTAAAATTTATTTTCAAATCTGATATCCCATTCAATCCAAATGTATTTGCAACTCTAAAACCTAGGGGTGCAAGTGCTTGGGTTGGGAATTTATTACATTTTCAATTGGCCCTAACTCTAACCCAAGTCCAATGTGATTATAATTTTTTAAGTCAGGTAACCCGGCTTACAGGTTGTAGCTCTGAAATTGGTGGTTTTAATTTAGGTTGTATTTAGTAACATTGTTATTTTTATTTGTAACATTTTAGATTGGTCAATACAAATTTTATGAGATTATATTCTTAGAAAACATCAAATTTGGTGTTTTTATTATAAATGCCAACACCCAATGTCCCAATTCAATGCTTGTATCTTTTTAGTGGAAGTGGTTATCAGGTGAGATGTGACAAGACAATTTTTCAAAATTTTGTATTGGCCTATCTAAAACGCTGCAAGTAGAAATTGCAATGGTACAGAAAACAACCTAGTGTTTAGAGACTCAAATAATGGTTCTTTCTTGGTTGTTTCCTTTATAAATCTTGTATAGGTTTTTTCAAGGACCCAAACAATGAACTGGTCAGGGGTTCGGTTCCTAGGTTGAATGGTTCGATCGTTCGAACCGAACGGATAGCCTGTTTTGACAAAAAAATTTAAAAATAAAAACCGGCCAAACCGTTAAACGGTTTAAATCATAGTTTTCAAAACCGGACTGGACTGAAAACCCGGGAACCGGTCAGGTGACTGGTTTCGTTTCCCCCCAAAACCGGATTTTCTCAAAAAACCATTGATTTTGGTTAGCAAACCACTGAACCGGGTGGTTAACCGTTTGAATGGTTTTGACCATTTTTTTATTTTATTTTTTAAAATTTTTTTGTCAGAACGGGCCGACTGTTCGAATCGAATGATCGGACTGTTCGACTCGGTAACTGGACCCTTGACYGATTCGATCTCCGATCGATTTTAAAAACCATGGTTCAAATGGTTTGATCACCCAGATTAACGGTTTGCTGACCAAAACAACGATTTTGAAGGAAAAAACAGTTCTAGGGTAAAATGGAACCAATCACCTAATCAATTCCCAGTTTTTCCAGTCCAACCTTCCAGTCCTGTCCGATTTTGAAAACCATGGGTTTTTCTATCTTTTACTTCTTTTCCCTACCTTTTCTATCAAACCGAAGGTAACATTAGGTTCAGTAAAATATATAAAGTGTAAATTTTTTTATTTTTATTATTATATACATTTGTATTCGCACTCTTTCAAAATAGAGCCTCAACAAAAGCTGATATTATCTTACTACGACTAAAAATAATTTAAATAACAACTCCAACTAGTTATAATTATTAATCTTGATTTTAGTTTTCAATTAATGGACTACATGACCTCAACCAAGTGCGGGCCAACTATTTGGACCTTTAAATCGACCAGCAAAAGATATTTTTTAATTCAAATGAAGATATTTTTATTTCGGTTTCATGGCCAACCAATATATTTTGGTCTCAGACGTCTATGCAGAAGATTTTTTCTTTTCTGCTTTCATATAATTGAAAAGTCATTGTTTTGAAGTTGAATGCTTATATCAGGCATGTGCTTCCATATAAAATCCACATCCGAGGTATATAGGCACGTGATTATTGGTCCAAAATCTGACCGGACCCATCTGTTGTACTTGGACCAATTTATGATAGAAAATGGATTATTGTGAGGATCCAAAACTGCAAATATGGTTAATTGATCCGGGTCAAAAAATTAGGAGCCAACCCGCCTATTCGATGCCTATGGCTTGAACCAACTTAACCTGTCCTGCCCTGACAAAGAAGGGGAGGAATTATTGAATCCGACCCGAGGAGCCGTCCCATATAGTCAATGAAGCCTAGTTAACATGAATATTTCAATGCTTCAATGTCAATGGGGCATTCCAGTGTGGGTTCACCTCGATTCGAACTCAACCTAAACCGGGTTATTGCTGGTCTGACCCTAACCTGATTGAGTCGGGTTTGTGCGGGCTTACCACTTAACCAGACCAAATAACATCCCTATTACTACCTGCCAACAGAAATGTGGATATGGATGACAATGTCGAAAAGATGGATATTTGGATATATCTCTTCCTGCAATCATTCCATGTGATATTATCATCCATAGTTGCAATCAAGTGACGCAAGTTTACTGCAAGTCTCGCCATGTTCATGAACGAGTCGCAAGCGCCAAACGCTGTTTATGCTATTCAAGTCTAACAGCTGACTAATTCTGATTTAATTTCTTTGTAACTTGCGCAGTTAGCTGTGTTGGCGCTGTTTGGTTCGCACTTCGCAGGAATAGGATCTGGATTTGGATCATTCCAGTTCTAACTGTCCGGTTGAGTGAAATCAGAATCGCATTTTTATTTTTGTTGAGATGACATTCCCCTATTCGATAGAATGGCCATTTCTTCCCTTTCTCGTATAAATGAAATCTCATTCTAGTTTATTCTCAATTTTAATTCCCATTCCAACTGTCTGAATCAAACAGGTTATGGGAATAAGGGAATGTTTGTAACCGTGGCCGTTTTTCAAAAAAGCGGTGCCACATCGGATATACATAGGCGTTTCAACAAACACCCATATATATGAATGTTTGGTTCGGGCATTTATTGAAAAATCGGGCATAGCTCGTAAATTGTGACCCCACCGATGCATGAACATCAGTGAACTGTTTCCTTGGCAAGGGCCAACCTTTAAACAGGAGACATGTTCCGCATGTCACAGAGCTAGGCCAGCAGCTACTTGTGTTATAATCAGAAAACCAGAGAAATTTAATTAGATTATTTCAACAATGTTAAGGGTTCAATTATTGCACCATGTTCTGTGGATGAATTAGATAGAGATAATGGATTGATGATCATGACTTCTTAACATGACTGCTCGGAGGAAACACCACCCCACCATGCATGAATACGTGACCATGTGCATTCACTTAAGTCCGGCCGCTCGAAACACTGCACAGCATTTGTACTCCATCGCTGTCAAGCTTGACTAGCTATATATGTATTTAATTACATGGAGATCTTTTTTAATTGTACCGCTCCCAATGAATGTACCCACTGGTTCAAAAGAGAGAAGTTAGTTTGTCGTGGCAAAGTAGGATTCTTTTCAAGTTTTCTTAAAAAAAGAAGATATCCGGCCAGAATCTGTTTGAAGATTCCTAGGCAAAATATCTTATATCAAACTTTTGAAGCCTAATCAAGAGGAAATAATTGATCAGACTTGGATAAAGGGTGCTCCACCGACACGTGATGGACCTCTACATGGTTGGGTTTCAGTCATCATCTTCATCATTTAATCCTCGACCCACCTATCTGAATCCCGTTTCGCCATTCCCTTTTATTCAAGCTAGGATTCAGCACGCTTTTTTATTGTTCACAAACTCTCTCTCTCTCTGATCAGAAATGGAACCAACCAGCACTACAAACTTTTTTCTTAACTAAAGTAAGAAGCGATTTATATTTTATAATACACAGCTTCATTATAGTTTTCTACTTAATTAATTAATTACAATCAGAAGAAGCAGGACAATTACAACAATTCATAGGAGCAAGAAGCTACGGTAGCAGGATTGCAGTTGCAGAGGCACTTAAACACAACTAATCCACCAACGAAACCATTACTAACAACAAATTAACAGAGCAGGAGCGATGAGTGAATTAGGGTGAGGTCTTGACAAGTCCGTTGATGAAGGACAGAGCATTGCTTGTGAGCTGGGCAAGGTTCAGAATGCGGGCTCTGACTGTGGTCTTGATACTCCCGTCGACAGCCTTGCCAGCGAACCCGTCCATGCATGTGTCCTCGTTCGTCAAGGCCGCGCTCACCCATGTCTGGATGTTGCTTATCTGAAAGGCCAAGTTGGGTCCCCCCAGATGACCCATCTCCGCCATAGACCTCTGCAGCTCGTCGACCGAGTCTCCGACGGTCTCGACGCAGTCTTGCATTGCCGCAGCCTCCCTGGGCTTCATTCCGTGGCTTCTTGATAGCTCTGTCATCATGGTTGAAGTGGAGCGGGCGTTTGTGAGGGAAACGTTCAGGGCGGCGTCGGCCAGCAACTTTGGGTCTGTTTGAATCGCGCTTGCGTAGCCCGAGAGGCTGCTGATGCACAGCTTCGGATACATTGTAGTGTCACAGGACGTCTTTATGAATTCGGTGTTTGTCGTCCCAGGATTGAGTACTCTCGCAGCTGAGCATGGTTTTGGGTTGCAACTGATGAATAATACCAACAGAATGAGCAAACCTGCAAAGACACAGCGACAAGAGCTAGAACCATTGAACCTTTCCATCTCTCTCTCTCTGAAACAAAATGATGGGCAAGAGGATAATTGAGGTGAGGCGATGACTGAAGAGAGTAAAGGTCCCTCCCTTTTATAGGAGAAGTATTTCATGCTTGTGGTTCCCCACAATGATCAATAATTGTAACTCGAAAAGCTACATCAAACCATACATATATACAATGCAAGTAGTAATACACAAGTATATATATAGATTTTAACCAGAACTTTATTCAAGTCAATAACACTATATATTAATAAGGAAGGCAACCTTTGATCCTAAACTAACATCTGGGGAAGCTATAAAACTAACCCAAAATTGCTGCTAGACACATTTGCTTTAATTTGATCAACAACGTAAAAAGCACAGGAGATGATCCCTTGATTGGTTTTCTTGGGGCCCAGGAAAGGAGCTAGGCTGAGAGTGATATGACGGTGAAATTGTGAGATGATGAGAATCATATCTGGGATAATCAGTTGAAGCCCTCAGGGTCAGGGTGGTTCCTTTCCTTAAGAAGATGCATATTGGTGACTATGGGGCCATCTTGATCCATAGAACAGAGCAGTAAAGAGTAAGAATAGGTTGCCAAGAGGGGGCAAGTAGGACCGGAGTCTCTGGCTAAGGTTGGCAAAGGTTTGCATCATGATTTTGAAATTTCGACGTGATAGAAATGAAACCTATATATAAAACAAAAAAGAAAAATAATTATGTGTGAATGCATTTCATTTCCACTAGAAACTCCATCGAAGATAACGAATGTGTGAAAAATTGATACTTCATGGAGGATACGTAATTATACAGCACAAAAATTCCTTCAATTCCCAGTCCCAAATCCCAACCTAAAAATTAAACACACACACACCAAGAAAAAAACACAAGATATCTTACCACCAAACAGGGTCACACACCACAAGCAAAAACTGAACTTTATCAAAAGTTCGCTCAACTAGAATATAAAATAAAAGCCACACTTCAGTTATCATGCTAGCTGCTTAATTATTCTCAACTAAAAGGGAGAAGAAATTCAGAATCTTCACTATTTTCATATATATATAATCTGTAAAAAGGAAGAAGCCCCTTCTTCATGGTCTATTTTCAATTTCAGGAGTGAGTCCCACATAAAAAGGAGCTAAATAGAAGAGTGACCTGTTGTATAGCTCCATGATGCAAAAAAKAAGAAAAAATAAAAAATAAAAAATAAAAAAAGAAAAGAAAAAAGAGTGACCCTTACTGAAACGGTGACTTATCTCTGTAAACAAACGATTTTCAAAATTTGAAATCAAAATTGCCAAAAAAAATCGAAATCAAATCAAAGATCACAACAACAAATTGGTTTCTAATTTTGTGGCAAAAATTTGTTAAGCAGGAACTATGGACGTAAAAAAAAAAAGCAATAAATCCTAAATTGAAGACAAATGAAGGAAAAATCCAAGGTTTTTAAAATCGAACAGAAACTGTTCTGGATCCGATTCCCAGGTCAAATGGTCTGATCGTTTGAATTGAATAAACAGCCTGTTCTGACAAACAAAAAGTAAAAAGTGGCCAAAAATTATTATTCGGATCGACGATTGAACTTCCCAGATCAACGGTTCATTGACCAAATCAATAGTTTTTTACCAAAAAGTGGTTCTGGGCTGAAACAGACTGATTCCCTAGTTTTTCTGATCTGAACGTCTGGTCCAACTCGGTTTTGAAAACATTCGAAAAAAATCTATAATGCTGATAGATTGATAATACAAAATGAAATAGGAGAGAGTTCATTATCAAAAATTATAAAATGATAATAACAATGTTTGAACTCATGCTACCCTACTAATGCATAACAGCATTCCACCATTAATCCATCAGACCATTTACACCTATCCTTGTCTCTTTAATATCTATATCATAAAATATGTATACATTTTTTATTGAAATATTAATGAAAAGACTTAAACCCTGGTCACTTTTATTTAAAAGCTAAGAAGAAATCATTTAGTCACTACTTTTACATGTTTTATAATATACATAATATTTTATATCTTATTTTTATGATGTCACGGATCACTGGAGGGCCAGTGGTTAGACCATTTGACCCATGATGACTGCAAAATTCTAATTTTGTATCCTGTCTCTCACAACATTGCTCATGCCCTTACCATGAACTTCTTTGTTTTCTTTCTTTCTTTTAGCCTGTTTTATTTGCATGTGTATAAATGCATAGGAGTGCAAATGAAAAGAATGTAAAATTTGGCTTAATTTTATTTTGGGTTTTACTTTATTCTATTTTAGGTCTTATTTTACTTTATTTTTACTGTAATCAAACAAAATAAGATAAAATTTGTAATAAAAATAAATCATAATTTGCACCAATCGTTATGTTTTGCATAGCATTTGAATCCACTCTATGTTGTCTGAAACGGGTTTAATTCATGTTGTCAATTGAGAACTGAAATGGTAAGAGATAATGACACTCGAAATTTTATATACAGCTAACACTTCATAATTTGGATGCATGGTGAAACTTTGAAGTTTCCTGCAGGTGCCCCATATGTATACCGTCTCAGTGTGTATTGGGAATATCGAGATCAAATCAGCCCCCCACAACGTCCCACAGCACATCCCCGCCGTGTATTGAAAAYATCTTTTGATGATAATACTAGAAAAATGATAATGTTATCATTGGGAGATGTTCCCAATACATAATAGGAATGTATTGTGGGACATTGTGGGGGCAATCTTGTAGGGACTAATTTGAACTCGGGAACATCTCTCCAATACACAGTTCGGATGTACTGTTGGGTGCCTGTGAGGCGCAAATATAATGTAAACATGAAACTTTGCTGTGTGAAGATATACCTGCAGAATAAAGTATACGGGTCATTGTTTTTTCATGGAAAGTGCTTCTTACATGAACCAAAAGAACTTGGTTGGTAGTAACAGAAAATGTTTTGTTTTCTTCTACGTGAGTTGTACCGTAAAGAAAATGTTTTGTTTTCTTATACGTGAGTTGTGCCGTAAAGTTTCAGAGAAGGTCGAGAATAGTTCATTAATTGCACCTGTGAGATCGATATTACATCTTAAATAGAGTCAAGAGGAGATATAAAGATAAAACATATGATAAAACTCTATCCTAACCTATTCTTATCCTAATCTGATTCTTCATCTTATCTAAACTTTAGGTTGTGTTTGGTTGCAGTGCAAATTTATTTGTATTAATACAAATGCATGAGAGTGCAAATATAATAAATGCAAATATTTATTTAATTTTGCTTTGATTTTTACTTTATTCTACTTCATGTCTTAATGCACTTCATGTGTACTGCAATCAAATAAAATAAACTAAAATTTTGAAACAACAGAATTTACACTTAAATCATTTGCACTGCCACAATTTTATATCAGTGCAAATTTATTTGCATTGCAATCAAATACAACCTTAACAATCTATATATATATGTTCCCTAATATTGACATTAACATTACCAGTTTTGATTCAAATTCTCTTAAATTCTCTTCTATATCAGTGCAAGTGCACAATTCAGGCAAGGAAGCTGCCAAAGAGGAGATGCAGGCCGAGACACGTATTATGTGGGGTTGAGTATCGGTTTGTAATAGTCAAGTATAGATATGTGGCTCTTGAATATGGGTTTGTAATAGTTGAATATGGATTTGTAACAGTTGAATATAGACTTGTGACAATTTAGTACTGGTTCAGTGGGTTGTAATGATTTGTAATAGTTGACTTTGAGTTTGTAACTGTTTGTAGTGATTGTGTATTACGGGGGATCCAGGGGAGCCATGCCCCCTTATGGTTCAGAAAATCTTCATAGTAATACAGTTTTTTATGTAAAATTTCTCCTCCCCCCACTGTCCATCTCAATGGTTCCCCCCCTATGGGTCCATCTATATTTCATTTAGGTTTTGACCTCCTTTATAAAAATTTCCTGGCTMTGCCCTTATGTATCAATTTGTAACAGTTGAATAATAATTGGTACAGATTGATACTAACATGATATATATCAAGATATTGTGAATACTGAATAGCCAAAAGTTTTATGAAGGGTCTAAGACCAATGGTTTCCTACTCCCAATTAACCAAATTAACCATCCAATTTAAGGTTGTGTTTGGTTTGAAAGAATAGGTAGAGAAAGGTATCTTGTATAGGTTTTCTTATTTTTCCCTTCCTTTCCCTATCTTTTCCTTCAAACCAAATATAGCTTAAAAGCTTAAGCTTTTAGGTGATGTCTCGGAATATGTTTTTATTATCCTCACATGGCCCCTCATTCAAAAGTCCATTGGGCTTGAAACTTGGATAAACCTAGGCCCACCGTATCTTATGCTAAAATTTAATTAAATATGATGGAACGACAATGATAAAACATTAGACCAGTTGGTYGAATAGTTTTGATACCATGTCATTCAATATAAATGCCCCATTTGCTTTTTGGTAATTTACTTATTTGGGTAAATGCAGCTACCTGGGTAAGTTTTTCCTAGGAAACACTTACCCGGGAATGATCATTTTAGCCATGTTCTTTTATTTCTCATGTAAATAAGGCAATGATCATTTTAGCCATAAAAATCCATTATTAAAAAGAGCAATTTTGTCTCATTCAATTGTTGGCAACTTTCCCCCTTAGTGGGAAAGTTATTTACCCACCTAGGAGATGAGTATCATTTACCCGGATAAGTGATACCYAGGAAAATAAACTTTCCCTGGTCGTCACATAAATCTAAAAAAAGAACATGGAATTCTCGGTCATGGGAACCAAAATCCCATTAACCAACTTTCCCCCCTCTCAAAATCCAAAAAAAGAATGCCCCAAAAAATTTAAGCTACTAGGTGAGGTCTCTAAAATAACTTTTTATTCTCTAGCATCTATGCACCAAACACCACTTCAAATTAATACTTTAAACCTTCGAGTTAATGTTAGACTGAAATGTTATTGGATAATTTGGATCCAATTTTTTGTCACTAATCCAATTCAATCCAATAACGTAATGGTTTATTTGGATTCTGATTGTGTACAATCAAAATTCTATCTGACTGTCTATAGAGGATTCTAGATAGGGACGGCAATTTCCACCCTA